CAAAGCAATTGGACTTGTGGTTTTCAACAAAGAAGTCGAAAATATCACTTTTTACCAAAAATTACAAAAATATTCATCAAAATTAGAGAATTAAAGATATCATTATGAAATGAACAAATCTGAGAGGGGTCCACATGTAGTACCTATATATGTAATATCAAAGCAATTGGACTTGTGGTTTTCAACAAGAAGTCGAAAATATCACTTTTTACCAAAAATTACAAAAATATTCACCAAAATTAGAGAATTGAAGATATCATTACAAAATGAACAAATCTGAGAGAGGTCGACATGTAATACCTATATATGTAATATCAAAGCAATTGGACTTGCGGTTTTCAACAAGAAGTCGAAAATATCACTTTTTACCAAAAATGACAAAAATATTCACCAAAATTAGAGAATTAAAGATATCATTACAAAATGAACAAATCTGAGAGAGGTCCACATGTAGTACCTATATATGTAATATCAAAGCAATTGCACTTGCGGTTTTCAACAAGAAGTCGAAAATATCACTTTTTACCAAAAATGACAAAAATATTCACCAAAATTAGAGAATTGAAGATATCATCATGAAATGAACAAATCTGAGAGAGGTCTACCCAAGGTACATATACACCAAGTATCAAAGCATTCAGGCTTGTAGTTTTCAAGAAGAAGTCGAAAAAGTAAAACATTGACACAGACGACGACGACGGACAATCACTCATATGATAAGCTCCGCTCGACAAAGTCGACAGCGGAGCTAAAAATATTCACCAAAATTAGAGAATTGAAGATATCATCACAAAATGAACAAATCTGAGAGAGGTCCACATGTAGTACCTATATATGTAATATCAAAGCAATCGAACTTGCGGTTTTTAACAAGAAGTCGAAAATATCATTTTTTACCAAAAATGACAAAAATATTCACCAAAATTAGAGAATTGAAGATATCATCACGAAATGAACAAATCTGAGAGAGGTCCACATGTAGTACCTATATATGTAGTATCAAAGCAATTGCACTTGCGGTTTTTAACAAGAAGTCGAAAATATCACTTTTTACCAAAAATGACAAAAATATTCACCAAAATTAGAAAATTGAAGATATCAACATGAAATGAACAAATCTAAGAGAGGTCTACCCAAGGTACATATACACCAAGTATCAAAGCATGCAGGCTTGTAGTTTTCAAGTAGAAGTCGAAAA